GAAATATATATATATATATATATATATATTTGTAAACTACATTAAAAATACTATAAGTCTCAATAATTGATAATTCAAAATATTTAAAAGATATATAAAAAATTTACGATCAAAGTTAAACTTGTTTAAATCTCAAAATTCAAAATGTGTTACATAAATTAAACAGAGGAAATAACTTTAAAAATATTTATATTATATGACATCTCAAAAGTTTAATTTTCAAATACATAAACTTTAAAAATATTTGTATTACTATAAAATAGGCCACCAAAGAGGGAAATGGAGAGTCCTGTTCTCCAAGTTTTCACATCGAAGCCGCCGCCATTGATGAGCTCCGATCATCAGCTGCCGGAGAAATCAAAATAAGCTTCCCAATGTCGCATCTCCTCCACTTCAGCTGCTACCAGATCTTCTCCAAGGTAAGTTTATAACCTTCTACTCTGTCCTGAGCTAAATCGGTCAGATCGAGAGAACTTCAAGTTTTCCGTCTTCTACCTTTATTGCAGCTGGATACTCCGCCCAAACTATGATTTCAAATCAACAATCCTGAATAATCTATCCTAGCATGTTATTTACTGTGTTTGAATTATCACATTATTTTATTGTTGTTTTCAGAAGCTTTCCTGTAGACTTTTCACTGTTACCTTGTTACTTGCTATTATTCTCCTTAATGTCTTCTTCTTATTACCTGGATTTATTGCACTTGAGCTGAAGGTCTCTTGAAAACAAGTGGTAAATTTTTCCCATATTCTGTCCTCCTCAGACTCCAATTGTGAGATTTTACTTGGTGTGCTTTTTATGGTTGTTTAATCCCATAAAACTTCTAGTTTGTTCTAGAGGACCTGAATACGAGAATTTTGGTTATTATGGGTTAAATCCCATAAATACTAAATTTTATTTGGAGTCATTTATGTCTTTGAACTATCCAACGACTCTTAATTGTCCTTTCTGCGACAAGCACTGAAAGATGAGGCCTAAACATAATATTAGGGATCTTAGAGAAAAAAGATTTTTCGAAAAAATGAGTTAAGGAAATGGTTGTGCTGAAATATTGCAATCACGCTATACAATTGGATAGGCGAAAAGATTGAGGAAGAGTCAATGGGTTGAGGTGATGAAAAAATGATAAGGCAAAAGAAGATGACCTTACACTAGAGGCAGGTTTGATTATCAGTTTTTTTTTTTTGGCAAGAATTGTTTGTTTGGATTTTTTGCAAGAAGTGTTTATTTTGAGCTCTTTTTTTGTTTGGTACAAGTCAAGTGTGTAGTTGAAAAGTTGAAACATGTTGAGAGGAATATATTTGTATTATACTTAAAACAAACTTACTTTTCAGTTTACATCACGACAAATATGAAAATATCATACTTGGTGACACAAAACAGGAAAGAAACAACAAGTTGAACCAAATTTATCTTCTTTTCAAAAATTTATCCTTATTGATAAGGGTACACGTGTAACTAGCATGCCCAAAAGCTAGTATATTACATGGAACAGTCTCTTCTTCCCTCTTGAATAAGGAATGGAATTATTCGTCCTAAGTTACCTATAAGCTTAGTAGCATGTTTCTTGACTTGAACTCTGGGTACATGGTAAGTGGCTTCGTTGTGACCTGATATTCATTGGTTTGTGATGGTACACGGTCTTTTGGCATGCAACTGCAGTTTATACCTTGAGTCTTATGCGTGCCCATATACTGGAAGTACTGAGCTGAATTATTCTCAGTCAAATGATTAGATGATTCTTCTTTTCCTTTTGGGTATACTTGAGTTAAAATGTATTTTCTTGATCTTTTTTCTCTAGTACCGTCGTGCGGTGATCTATGCAATCTTTTTTTTTTTTTTTTTGATAACCGAGAAATCCGTCTGTGACCCGCCCTTTGGACCAATCACAGCCTTCTAAACTCGGTGGATAATGGGCCCGCCCTATGCAATCTTTTGTAGAGTGCTTGTTTGATTCCATGCTTTACCATCCAGGTGAGTGCAGGACCAAGAGTATTCTGCATGCAGAGGTTTGCCGTGGAACGTCTAAGAAATGATAAAGGTAGTCAAATTGGGAAGTTCCTTTCAAAATTAAAATTCTTGTTTATGATGCAATTGAGCCAATTGTTTTCTCTATTAACTGATATAAGTTTTAAGTTGCATTTCCTTTATTCAGAACGGGAAAAAGTTTAAGTTGCATGTCCTCCCTTGAATCTCTTATTCCAGTAAGGGTTGGCAAAGCAAATGTTGCAAATGTTAGTATTTGGTTCACTTCTAATGGAAGAAAATTGTTATTCGATACTTTTAAGTCACTTCTTGTCGCCTTAGTAATAGCAAGTTCCTCAAAGTGAGTGCTTAATCTCTGTTGGATGACTTGCTATAACTTTGTTCTCCTCTTTTTTCTTTTCTTTTTATCCCTTGCCTTGGCTGTCTTCTGCCATCACAAGTTGTTAGGTCACATCATTTCAAGCTTGAAAAGCTAAAGGTGCTGAGAAGTTGTAGTAGGAGGCAATTCAGTTTCTTTGCCACTGCAGAGGACCAGTTGCCCAACAGTGAGCTTGAGGAAGATGTTTCTGTGCAAGAAAGTGAACATCCTAGTGTTGAATACATTGCCTCTGTCAGTAGTTCAAATGCCCAACTTGAAGGTGCTGGTGGTAAGCCTGGGGTACTATCATTCTACAATCGTCCTTACAGAAGGGAGGAGAAAATCCTTGTGTCCACTGCTGCAAAGAACGAGAACATTCTACTATGGTTTGTCGGTCCAGCTGTCCTTGTAGCCTCTTTCATCTTTCCCTCGCTTTATTTGCGCAGGATATTATCAACTATATTTGAGGACTCTCTGTTAACTGGTAAGCAAGGCTTATGTTATAACATGTTTCTGACATATTCATATTTGTTTCATTTAGTTTATCTACCAACCTGCTTTAGCTCCCCAAAAAAAAAACACCCCCCTCCCCACAAGAAAAAGGAACAAAAGAAGCTATGATGATGTTTCTGATCGCATCATCATATTTCTATAACAAATAAATAAGCACATAAGCACTCATCCAAAATTGTGGCAGTACGATATCTTGTGTCCACTGACTCAATGATTTGTATGCAAAACTATTAAAGAATCCCACATCGGATATGGGATGGGTAATTAGTCTCCTTATATGACTTGGACAACTCCTCCCTTTGAGCTAGCTTTTGGGGTTGAGTTAGACCCAAGATTTATTTCTTTACATGGTCCTTCTCAATTCTTTGTTCTCAAATGTTGGGCCCCCATATTGTGCTGACAATGCCCTGGTTAATGAGGTATGTGTGTGCGGGAAGTGTGTAGAGTACCACATCGTATATGGGATGGGTAATTGTTCTCCTTATATGCTTGGACAATCCTCCTCCCTTTGAGCTGGCCTTTGGGGTTGAGTTTGACCCACGATCTATTTCTTTACATATATAAACTAAGAGAGAGAAGACCCTTGTAAGTTATAGCGACTCACATACTATCTGTGTCAATATCAGGTGCCTGTTATGTGGCTGAAATGTCGATCATGTTTGATTGTTGTTACTCGATGTTCATGCTAATGATTTCCTTCTTTAAGTTATAAACAAGCAGTCGTTTCATCGCAGTTTTGCTAAATAAACTGTGCTCTTAACCTGCAGATTTCCTCATCTTGTTCTTCACAGAGGCTCTCTTTTACTGTGGAGCAGCAGTGTTTCTTCTCCTAATAGATCGTTTAAGGAGACCGCTTGAGCTAATATCTTCTGACAGGAAAACTATGCCACCACTCGGATATAGAATATCTTCAATTTCTGTACTAGCACTTAGTCTAATAATTCCAATGGTGACCATGGGGTTTGTCTGGCCATGGACTGGTCCTGCAGCTTCTGCTACTCTTGCCCCTTATCTTGTTGGTATTGTTGTGCAATTTGCTTTTGAACAGTACGCAAGATATATTGACTCGCCTTCATGGTCTGTTATCCCAATTGTTTTTCAGGTAAGGACTAGATCAACTTAGTAATTTCACTTGGAATGTTTTTGTAGAGAGGGAACACTGAACACTGGCCACTGTGATTTTTGTTGTATTGTGGCCCCATGACGTTTAACTTTAAATGTTATCATCCCCCAACACACTCCCTTGTGTTCAACTAAAACTGTTTGCAGCTCTTCTAACTTAATTTTCTACAGTCTGGATGTTTAAACCCTTCCAAATATTTCAAATGACATAGATAAACTTTCTTTTTTTAGTTCCTATAATAACACTACCAGATCCGTGAATGACAGTTTTCTTTTCTCAAACTTTACTAAGTTGACTTGTTAAACTATGTCATGCTTTTATTATCCATGTATACTTTCATTGTTCTAATGGAAAAACCAATTAAGTAGACTCCCCAATTAAGATAGACTACACCAACACAAGAATTTTCAAGTTTGTTGTTGGATGTCTTATTTTATCTTTTACTATAATGTCATACTAGTATCACTGGACATCAGACTTGTAGTTTGTAGTTTTTCTGCTTAGACTGTTTCTGATAACGTTCTGTTTTATTTGCCAAATAACTTCATATTATGTCTCTCCAAAAGCATGAATAGTTTATCCAAATATTCAGTAAGATTGTGCGACTTTACACTGCTTCCCACTTGTCTTGAAGGAAATTTATGCTCCCCCTTGCTGATTGAATAAGTTAACACTTCCCAAAGTAAAGATCCTCAAAAGCAATTTTTGTCTAAAGAATTATACATGTCCCAAAGGAGTTTTATGGTAGTTGATGAGGTTATTTGCACAATTTTACAGGTTTACAGGCTGCATCAGCTGAATAGGGCTGCACAACTAGTAACAGCCCTTTCTTTGACAGTAAGAGGAGCTGAAATGACTGCACAGAACTTGGCAATAAATGGCTCATTGAGCGCACTTCTAAATGTCCTTCAATTTCTTGGGGTGATTTGTATTTGGTCCCTTTCTAGCTTCATCATGAGATTTTTCCCTTCTGCTACAATGGCTGAGGGGTAAGACATGGTTCTTGGTCCCGCACTAAATACTCTGGAAGAGTCTGCACATGCATTCTTCTGGTTAATTGTTTGCCAATGCCACAGGTCTTTTGTGGTTGCGGCAGTTATTTCTTCAGATGGTCCCTGTTGTTGACTTGATCTTTGTTGAATGTGTAAGAACATGAGCATGGAAGCCTCTCAAACATGTTTCACGCTTGCAGAAAAATTCTTGGCAAATGAAGAAACGCGAAGGTGCAGGGTTGCTGATCATATTGTCACCTGTTCTGTTTTTATTCAATAGGCTGTGAATTTGGACAGCACGCACAAAGGAGTTTTACTTCATGGTTATTTCATGTACAGTTTAAATTTTATAATGGGTATCTTCTGCAATTGCAAGTAGATTGCTAGACTACCATAGTAATCATTGTTTTACATATATTGTATCCAAATAGATTTGCAATTGCATGTATTTAACTCTTTGACTCGCTTCTCCTATCTCACTTGCTCTCTCCTCTCTTTGCTCGCCTATTTCCCTATGTATTTGTATTTCAGAATATATCTGATATTCTGAATATACCATAGTAATCATTGTTTTAGAATATATCTAGTATTCCGGATACATGTATTTAGTGTGATTCACATATATTTAGGAATACATATACTCTCACCCGCCTCTCTCCTTCTCTTGCTACTCTTTTCATATTTTAGTGTATCTAGTAACAAATATGTATGTATCTAGGTGTATTTTAACTTGAATTTTGATATGAGTTATTAATTAGTGAGACAATATGTAATTATTTTAACGGATAAGGGCCTAAAATGCCCCTCAAGTATTTGAATTGGTACAAAATTGCCCTTCATCCACCTATCGGTCCTAAAATATCCCTAACGTTCACCTTTCGGCTCAAAAATACCCTTATGTCTAACGGATCACATTCATTAGGTGGATGGAGGGTAATATTGTACCGAATCTCTTACTTTAAGTGCATTTTAGGCCCTTTCCATTAAAATAACTAGTATACGTACCGTGCGTTGCGCAAATATTGTAAAATGAATAATATTTTAATTTTAAATGGCAATTATGAATTATTAGTGAGTGTATATATTTATATGTATTTTATTTATTTATTATTATGTTTTAGTTTTTTTGAACAATGTTTTAAAAATTATATAAGGATGCATAAAATTAATTGTGTTTTAAATTATAAGAATTATGTCCACAATGGTATTTTTAGTTTAATATATTTTGTTAATTTCTATATACATTTTATAAAGAAAAACTTTTAATGTTGAGATTAATAAGGATAGTTATAAATCACTTTATCTCTAAAAAGGAGTGTATTTAAGATTACTAAGGATAGTTACAAATCAGCTTATCTCTAAATATAAATACAGTTAATTTTTTTTATTAATTAAGCATAACATAGTTAAAACATGGACTATCGATTAATTGATAAGTTAAGATTAGATGAAAAGGAGAGAAATTGGAGGATTGGCTAGTAGGCTATGTGCGTGAGAAAATAGGCAAATTAGTTTGATTGAAATAACGTTTAAAAATATATAATATTTAAATATCATTTCTATATAGCCATATCAACTATACTTTTAGTTTCATAAGTAATATATTATGTACTAATTTTTCTAGGGATACTATTAATTCTAAGATTATTTTACTTTTGATCAAATATCAAATATTTCAAATTTTTACGTGTTTGTCCTTTATTATTTATATACAGTTGGAATTAAAAAAATTCTTCTTTTTGTGTTAACAATTCATTAATTCTAACATTCCACATGAAATATTTAATATCATAAGATTAAATTACATATTGATACATTTAACTAATGTTTTATTCAAAATAAAAAAAATTCAATATATTAATATATTTAACTAATGTTTTATTCAAAATCAAAAGATTAAATGACATATTGATACATTTAGCCATTTACTATTTTTCAATTTGTGTAAATTATAATAAATTATAGTAAATGATTTTAAATGTAAAAATAATCTTTAATTAATACATCCGCTATATTAGGTTAACTCAAAGTGTTTATTAGATATTTTAAATTTGATTTGAATTGTATTAGAAAAGATATAAATGTGGATGAAAAGGATGTTATGTTGATTTGAACTTTATCCGATTAAGCACATTATGTGTAACTACAGTTATCTTGAAATTCAAAAATTATAAATTATAAATTGATAATTGTATCATATGTTTTAAAATTGTAACTTAAATTAGTGATGTTATATAATATTGTGAGTAGTCTTAAATTTGCTAAAATGACTTATAGTTATGATATTGTTCATGATAGAATTTAATGCTTCCTAAATATAAATAAATACTATTATTAATCTTAATTTCAAAAGTTTAATTTTTATTCTTCAAAAAAAATTGGGAAATTTGATTATCCTTTTAACAATTTGTTACGTTATTTTTTATTTTGTTTTGTACTATTTTTTTTATACTAGATCGGTGATGGCCCATGCTAAGCACGGGCCCAACATTCTTGAATTTTGATCCAACAATTAACTACATTATTGATTTCTTACATTATTATAACAACATTACTAATAAAAATGTTAACAATTGTCATCACTAAGTTCAAACAATAGAAAAAAGAAGAAGTGAACATAAATATTCCTCCTAAATCAGCAATAGAGAAAAGGGAAAGTGCTGAGAACTATTCTGAGATACACAACACACACACACAGGCATAACAGTGCAGCATTTGCTTACAGAGAAAATAAAAATAGGTCTTTTTTATAGTATCAATGTTTACAAGTCTGCTTTTGGAAAATGTAATAAATCAAGTCTAGTCCATTGAGCATCTTTTCTGATACATCTAGAAAGAAATAAATCTGATCTTAAAGGTAATTTAGAGTCGTCATGAAATTACATAGATCTTCAGCTCTGGTTTCTCCTTCATTTTCCTTTTTGTTTCCTTTGAGCCATGAAGTTAGGCAGGGCACTCCAATTTGTTCCAAAACTTTCTTCAACATTGTAATATAATACTACAAATAGGGCTAAAGCTTTTAGGCGAATTGAATATATCTAGTATGAATCAGGTCTAAATGAGTAGCATATGTATGAAAAGTTGGAGCAAAAAATAATCAGTTCAATTAAACCCCATAATATAGAAAAAGAGATAACCTTTGAGTTTGCAGATAAGCAAAGATTCCAGTAACCCAAAACACAAAAAATCAAAATCAAGCAAAAACTAATAACTAATGAGAATACCCTTTCCACCTCAAGCTTCTTGATATCATCATTATCTCCAAAATAAGTGGAAATTCAAATGTTTCATATGAAACTCTTACAATTTCAGCACATATAACTTGGAACAAAAATAAAAACACAACTTTATTTCATTTACAATCAATGCCTATATTTCATTCCTCTGATGAACTTTATACCAAATAGATTGAGGACTGGAGGTACTTGCTGAAAGGAAAGGAATAACAAAACTCAATCTACTATCAGTATCACATCATCTGGAAGGCAAACATTTAACTCTGATATTACAAAAGAGCATAATAAATGAAAGAGATAGAAAGACAGAAAGGAATAGGAATATGCAAAATTCAAAAATAAATAAATTTCTTACCTCTTCGGTGTCTCGTAATCATCTTTATCTCTTATTTGCTCTTGGTTATACAAAGTACCATGGTCCAAAGACGCTGCAAATCAGTTGTCTGGTCATGCCGTCATGGTAATCATATCTGTAATCATATCTGTAGATGCCGTCATGGTAATCATATCCATAAACTCTTTTCATTGCTAGTAACTTTCTGAATATGAAGCTTAAAACACATTACAACCATATCTCATAATACATGAATCACAACCAATAAACAAAACAAACAAACCAAATTTAAGTATCGTTTGGGTTTGTGAAAATTTCTTCGTTCATCATATGCTAGGAAAAGCAGTTGACATGATAATACGAAATGAACATGAGTTCATACATCACAAAATGTGAAGATCGATAATACCATTCTAACACTAAAATGTAAGTAATAGTAAGAAAAAATCCAAATAATTCATGAATCATATCTTGAAAGTTTTGAAATAATAAATCTAATGATTTATCCTCTGCACATTTTCTGCATTTTTGCTTTAGAGGTGATAAGTTTTCTCATAACATAAAACAATAGGTCCACTAATTTGAGTATACTTTCAAATTCACCTCTCTACTTGATCCTTTTCAGCTTCTTCCTTCGAAAATTTGACATGCCCATTTTTTTTCAAGATGTAGCTTCCTTTAGCCGCAAGAGGTAGGTAACTGATGGCAGGTGTAGAAATGGTGTACTATATCTGATTTGTGGCTCCTCTTTGACAAAAAGTCAGCAGTACAGTTTGTAGAAAAATCCACAATACACTCGCCTCAATTAAGAACATGAAGTAGAAAATTGATTAGGATAAGAAAATTCAACATTAAACTAATCTCCATTAGAAACATGCAATTAGAAAATTTCATAATAAACTAACCAAAAAATCAAAAATCACTCAAAAATTGGAATTAAAATTGACAACAGATCTACCTCCAACAGAGACGAAATCAGGGGAAGGGATAAGAATACCAAAATCTGTAAAATCAAAACAAAAGAGTGAGAAGATTAAGAAAACTAAAAATTTATAAAAAGAAAAGCAGAGATTTTACCATAAATATTTTCTTGAAAGAGGCAAAGATAATTGAGAGCCTCTAATTTCCTGATATCAGCCTGAAGCAATATCAATTGCTCACACGTGGAAATAAAAGAGCATCCAAGTGTTAATACCCAATCAAATTGGGCCACAAAGGGCCAAAAATTATGAGGCCTCACAATACAATTTGAAATGTCTTTGGTTACCGTACAATTTGCTGTGTTCGTCCTAGCACAACTACCACTTCTAAATAGTGGTACCAATTTTTAGTGTTGTGTTCGTCCTAGCACAACTCCCACTTCTAAAAAGGTATAATATAATATAAAATAAAAAATGTTATAATGCTCAATATTGTTCTAATTTGCACCAGGTCGCTAAAACAAATAAAAATGAAGTAGCTCTCTTTGGTCTAAATCAGTTTTGCAAGCTCTCATTTTAATAATTAATAGTGTCGTGATACAGTAACATGTTTATAATAGACAGACATAATGTTCTGAATTAGGATTTAGTTCTCTATTCCACGAAGACCGTAAATAAAGTACCACAAAAATAATCATGAAGTTGATGATAAACTTATTTGAATGTTCCACATATATCTAGGCTTCTTCTTTACTTGCTTAGCTTGAAGATACATGGGGAAATTCGATTATAAAATTAAACATATGCATAAACTTCGACGAAAAAAATTGAAAGTGGAAAGAACCCGTAAATCAAACACATACAAATATGTATGTAGAAAATCCAAGTATCCAAACGAACCGAAAGCTGATACAAATGTCCATCAAATTCCATTAGCAATACCTGCAAGCATTAATTAAAGAATGAAGAAAGAAGAAATCATCAGAATTGAGGCAAATAAGAAACAA